AGATTGTATTGTACTGCTGTGAGTATAAAAGCTTCACATGAATCATTGTAAACTTGATCATTAAGAAATACAAAATTCCTATTTCTCTCTCTGTCTTCTTCTACTTTCTCTCTAAAACTCTGCTTATGCTTCTACATTTCTTCATATTTACAATTCACACACCTCTTAATTTTTGTCCGTCCGATCAAATAAATAAAAAATGATCAAATAATAGAAACTAACAAAAAAAAAATTGAAAGGTAAAATGAATTGTGCAGATACCACCCTTATGCTTTCTTTATTTTTCATGATATGCGATTATTGGATCGGGTTATCGGGCTGGAATCTCGGCCCACTACTTCAATTAACAGATAATCCGCCGGTTCCAGGTTATTGGGCCCAAACTACCCACCGCTACACCCGCGAAATGTTCGAACCTCTAATTCTCGCGGGCCTCACCTTACCCGAAAAAACCGTCGTCGTTGGAAGAAAAGGAAGCGTCGTCGTCGTCATCGCCGAACTGTGAACTAAAACCCTAGCTAAGCTCACTGTCAGAGACTCAGAGCGTTGGGGTTTTAAGCTTGTAGTTGTACTTACTGCTTCCCTTCAAAATTCAGTAAAAGATACAAAAGAATGGAGATTTCTGAAAGTAAGCCCCAAATCGATTCATCTGAAAAGCCTAGGTCCACCTGGGACGGTTGCTCCGTCTTGCTCGACATCAACGACGGCGACCGTTTGGTTTTCTCCCGCCTCTCCGCCGGAGCGTAAGTCGTATTTTTCTCTCAGTCAAATTTGTGCTTTTTTTTGGGGTTGTTGAGAATTCTTACGGTTGAATGCGGAATGGATGTGCAGGAAATTGAAAATTGGGAATAAGAATTGCTCTCTGCAGCCTTTGATTGGCTGCCCCTTTGGCTCTTTCTTTCGGGTCGAAAATGGAGCCGAAGGCCCGTATTTGGCCCGGTACACTCCGTCCACGGAAGGTTTGGTTTTTAACTTCAATTTGTTCAAAATTTTGTGTTAATGTGGAATTTGGGATGATGACATTGTGTTATTTTGCTTGATATTTGCCTGTTTATTCAGTTAATAATGTTCAAGAAAAAGGTGATGGTCAATCAATTGATGAGTTTAGAGATAATCGAGCATTAGTCGATAACAATAAAGCGCAGAGCCTAACCGGAGAAGACATTAACGCGATGCGACAGTGAGAACAAATTAATCAGAGATTTAGTTTGTATTTTGGGCTCCTTTTGTACATTTTTTGGTGGACTTATACAATGATAAATGCAGACAGGGTGCAACGGGGGATGAAATAGTTGAAGCTCTCATTGCAAACAGCGCGACGTTTGAGAAGAAAACTGTTTTCTCACAGGTAATGTAGATCGTTCGAGTGCCACTTTGTGTTCATATGAGAAGGTGGTCTGATTTCACGTCGTTCTGTTGTCTGCAGGAGAAGTATAGGCTTAAGAAGCAAAAGAAATATGCTCCCATTGTACTTATGAGGCGCCCATTCACTAGAAGGTTACCTCTTATTTCTGGAAGCAGGAGCTTTATTTTGAAGTCATATTGCTGTTCTATTGGCAAGAACTTTCCGAAATGATTTAATTATATGCATGAAGCGCCATGATATCTCCGCAATTAGCAATTTTTTGGCTGCTGTTCTGAATGTCCATCTATAATTTCCAAATCTCATATTCTTTTTACTCACTTCTTGTTCTTTTCTGTTTCTCTCAGTATATGTGAGGCGTACTTAAAGAAGTATCCGAATAAAATTGGGTAAGGACTAGCCAGTTATGAGTTTTCCTCTATTTTGGTAAACTACTTTCTCATGTTATTTGCTCAGAATTTATGTATCATATGTTTGCCTTTGGTTCAGATTCTTGCGAATGGATACATTGTCTCTTCTTCTTTCCATGGCTAATGTTTCTGCAAATTCTGATGTCCTCATAGTGGATATGGTTGGAGGACTTCTAACTGGTGCTGTAGCAGAGCGTTTAGGAGGTCTGCTGCTCTCCCCAAGTTCCCTTTGCTATTTGCTGCTTTGAGTTTTTTAATTTACACAGATTTATGGGTGGTGAAGTAGTGAAACTGAAGTGAATTGGATATATCCAATTAAAATGGAATCGGTTTGTTATGGCTACTTTGTGTGATTGCAATTGCAACATTGTTATGACATTTCACATTTTTAATGCTTCTGTATGTTTGACAGGTACGGGCTATGTCTGCAATACATATCTTAGTGGGTCGCCTTATTCTATGGATATATCGAGGATATTCAACTTTGGAGATGAAATTTGCAAGAGGTACATCTGCCTTTGAGTTACTTTTTATAGGAAATGTTGTCAGATGAAATTTTACACTCCTTATGCAACCAACTTTTGAGATATTTTTGTATTTATGTTGCTTATACAGGATTGTGAGGTCTCCTCTCGCAGACCTATTATCTGTCCAAAACGGAATTGAAAAACCAGCAAGTCAGGAAGCGGAGTCTGGTAATATGGAAATTCAGTCAAATGTGAGTGGCGCTTCATTTTTTGTTTGCAGATTTCTTTGTCTTGCAGTTTCGTAATTGTTTTGGGTACTCTATTTTCAGGACCAAATTTCTTCAGCAGTTAGCATGGAAGAAGCATCTCTTACATCTGAAAATGTGATATCGGATCCTATTCCTCTGTCTACTAGCTCTCCAGTAATTAAAATGTCCAAACCAGCAAAACTGGGAGAAAAAGCACCACAGGAAATCATCAGCTCGTGGAAAGAGAATGGTTTCTCTAGGTAAATATTGTTGTCGCGTGTGTAGTTTACTAGTTGAAAGTAGCATCTGGATGATAGTTCTGCATTCTTTTTGCAGTTTAATAATAGCAGCACCGGAGATGGATGCTTGGAGCTTACTTAAAGAGATCTTGCCACTATTGTCAAACTCTGCTCCATTTGCTATTTTTCATCAGTATCTTCAGGTTTTTAGCTTCAAATGCTTGATCCTACCAAGTTAATAATTTTTCATATACGAATTTAGTATCTTTGGATTTTGTAGACGATTAAACTAAGTCCGTTATACTCTTTGATATGCAGCCTCTTGCGACATGCATGCATAATTTACAAACGGGGAAAATGGCGATTGGCTTGCAAATTTCAGAACCTTGGTTGCGCGAATATCAGGTTGGTTTGGTCTTATTTATGTATCTGATCTGGTCTGCGAGTTCTAAAGATCTCTATATATTTTAACGTCATTTGCTATTAGAACTCCAGTTTTTGAAACTTGTGTAGGTTAAATGAATCTGAAAACAGAGATTCTGTGTGTTATTTTAATGCATACAATTTGTCTACATGCATGTGTGTGTGTGTGTCAGAGTGAGATCTGTCAATCAAAATTTAAATTTGGACAAGAAGTTGAATAAAATACTTAAGATTGCCCATAGGCTGAAGTCACGGCCAGCGTCCTATCAAGGTCTAAAATATCGATGATATTGGAAATATCGGTAGTCCAAAAATATGGAAATTTCGATGGAAATATCGGGATAATATCGATATTTTAAACGTTGCTAAGGATGTAAGTTGGAAATGTTGAGAAAGTGGCCTAGCTCAACTTGAGTGGTAATCTGATGATTTCAGTATGAACCATTCCGTTGATTTTGTGAGGACCATCACCGGCCGCGTTGGAATGCTAATTTTTCGTGTACCGTTGTGCCAGGTCCATTGTTAATTCCTGGTTTAATGTTTCTGTAAAGATTATACGCCTTTATTTGATGCGTTCTAGAGACTGATTGTAAGTAATCGTTTCAGGTACTTCCATCAAGAACGCATCCATGCATGCAGATGAATAGATTCGGCGGGTACGTTCTCAGCGGGACCAAGATTTCACCGAACTGATTTGAAGAACAAAATCACACGGCTGAGTTGCGATTACTTTACTTGTTATATGGATGTTCGTAGGCGAAACCACTGCGTGCAAACTGTACACCAGCTTTTCGTCTTCTGTTTATCTGTAAACCTGCAAATACTGCAAATTTTTTCCTTGCAGGATTTGCAATCTGTGTTCTGTGCTCCATTTCTTCTTGCAATTCCAGATTTTAAAGTTTCTATCGGAAAATATTACTCTCTTAATTTTGCTTAGATGGGTATAATGGTATTTCTATTTGTTTTTTTAGTTGACAGAGAGTTCTATTAATAGGAAAAAGGCATGCGAAATTATTTTAATGTCCATAATTTCTCTTTTTAATAATTTTTTAATTATGTATAAAAAAATTAATTGAAAAAGAGAGTTCGTAGTATAAATTATTATTATTTTTATAAAAAAAAAATTTAGCTGAATTGCGCATGGTAAAGAAGTTTTTTTATTGACAAGTGGTATATATGGTAGGTAAGGAACTTTTTTTTAACAGGGTATACTAAATTACCTATTAATAGAGCTCTTCCTAAATTACCATTTCAATCTTCACCAAAACTGAGTAAAAAGAAACAAAAAGGGCAATTTAGTAATTACATGCAACATAAAATTTGATTTTTTTACACTAACCTCACAGCCATGTAAGCATATCATGCCCTATTTAAAAAAAAGAAAGAAAAAATATGCCCATGTCAGAAGTAATTGCCCAATTTTTTCCCTTTTTTTGGAAAGGAATCCTCTCTCTGGATTTTTTTCACTTAATTCACTAAGTTTAAGGATCCAATTCATTAAAATTTGATTAAATGGTTACAAATAGAAGCTCATTTTAAAAGTTATAATAATTTTAGTTGTTAAATCAAAGTTTAATGATCTAAATCTCCGAATTTGATAGATTAGGAGGAAGGGATCCGGAAAGAATCATTTTCCCCATTTTTCATAAACGAATTGTTTTTTTAGAATTTTAAAAATTAATCACACTCTTCAATAAAAAAAAACAAAATAATATAAAATTGTTCCCGCACACAGTACACGTGGGCATCTGCTAGTATACTGTATATATATTGGAGAAAAGGCCCAAGCCCATGATGAATAAGAAGGCCCAAACAACCAAAGGTTGCCCACCGCTCACAAATACAATATTTCTCAGGGTGACGGCAGGAAGGCGGGGCGAGCGCATTCGAAACTCACCCGCATGCGTTTCCCGCTGTTGTGTCACTTGACCGACGCCGCTTCCTCTCTCTCCTCGCGTTTCGAGTTCCATTCGCGTTTGGCTTCCTTCTTCCCTTTAAAACTTAAACACTCACAAATTTAAGAGTTAATTAAATTCGCAAAACTAGCAAACGAAAACCCTACCTCCTCTTCAATTCTTCTGCTGCTCCCTCCTCCGCCATGGAGACGGAGGATCCCAATCGCCTCCTCCGCCCGTCGCAATTCCAGTTCCAACTCCTCCACTCGCACTCCCAGACTCAGAGCCATATGAGCTACCGGTACTCGCCTTTGCCTCCCTCCCAGTGTCTCCGCCCACAGTTATTTCCCGCTCTCGCTCCTTCCCGCGGCTCCGACCGCCGCCGCCTCTCCGGCGACGCTTCTGCTTCTCTCGCCACCGTGGACGCCCGTTCCGCTTTGGCTAAGCTTTCGGTGAGCGTTTCACGTCATCGGCGCCGTCTTTTTTTCGATTGAGATTTCTTGAATTGCCTTCGTGTTTGTTATTGATTCTGTGAAGTATGATCACCGTCATTGTTTTCTTCGTCTTGTTCTTCGTTTTCAAAGATTCGGTTTCGGATTTATTGTATTTGAAAGGTTTAGAGGATTTTACTGCTGCTTAATTGTTTGTTTAGTACTGGTAGCTCATCGGCGCCGTCTTTTTTCGATTGAGATTTCTTGAATTGATTTTGTGTTTGTTATTGATTCCGTGAAGTATGATCACCGTCGTTGTTTTCTTCGTCTTGTTCTTCGTTTTCTTCGTTTTCAAAGATTCGGTTTTGGATTTATTGTATTTGAAAGATTTAGAGGATTTTACTGCTTCTTAATTGTTTGTTTAGTTCGTTGTTGCTGATTATTAGTCGTGGATTTTATTGGACGGCGGCTTAATTTTTCCTTTTTAATTTAAATGTTCGATTGGCCATTCTGTCTGCGCTCATTAACTGCGCAATCGGCTTCTTTATTGTGATTTATAGAGATTTTTTCCCTTTTTTCTTACCGTAATAAATTTCCCTACACGCTTGAGCGATTGACAGTAACATTATTTACCATCTCAATGATATGAACTGTAAAATTGCCCAACTTATACAATCGCAATGTATCTCTTTAGTTAAACGCGTGAGCAACTGACAGTAACATTCTTTACAATCTCAATGATATGAACTATAAAATTGCACAACTTATACAATCTCAACGTTCTCTTTAGTTAAAGACTTGAGAATGTCGCTGTTAGTTAAAGTATGCATGACTATCGTCGTTGAGAACACTTGCTGGTGTGTCTGAATGCGATTTCTGTTCATTTTATGGTTGTGTTGTACAAATGTTTCATAGCATACTTTTAGCCCGCTCGTGAATTCTTTTTCCACATCTCTAATATACAATAATTACTGCAGTTGAGACCAAAACAGGAAATAGATAATGACACTCAGATTGGTGGGCAAGAAGCTGCTGCTGGACCAAGCAAGGTAATGAAGGGTATTTTACCTCTACCACAGTCCTGCTCAGGTGCAAAGCATAATGGTAAACTAAAGGTTCCTAAGCATACCAAAGTTGGGACTCAAAGATCAACCGCGGACTTTTGTAATGGTCTGGGTCCAGCTCAAGCTATTGGTTGCCGTTTTGACAACTCTTTAGGTAAGTTGAGATTAAAAAGAAATAATTTGGAGCTATCCCTCTAACTATGCGCATGCTTAGAACACTTATTACAGGCATTCATTCGGTATGTGCTGTTGAGTATTGACGTTTTCCCTGTATGTGTAGCTCAAGGCTAATAAGGGATGTAATATGTTGTTTGCAGGCTTGTTAACCAAGAAATTTATCAAGCTAATTTACGAGGCCAAGGATAGAACCCTTGATTTGAATAGAACAGCAGAGGTGTTGGAGGTATATCAAATGTCTTTGGTATCATAGTATTGAGACTTTAACAAGCACTTGGTGTTATATCTCATGTCTGGGTAATAACATATCAAATCTTCCTTGTGTAATTGTTTATACCATATTGGTTATTACAGGTTCAAAAGAGGAGGATATATGATATTACGAACGTTCTTGAAGGAATAAATTTGGTAGAGAAAACTTCAAAGAATCACATACGTTGGAAGTAATTTTATCAATCTTCGCTTCCCTTTGTTTGATGCTTTCTATGTATGGATTGATCTGACCAGTGCACTTTAATGACAGGGGATATGATGGGCCGACACCATGCGAGCTGGATGATCATGTTTCTAGACTAAAGGTGCTTTCAATTATAATCACTTGGGATCGTGTTTATTAGTCAACTTCTTGCTCATTCCCCTTGTTTGATACTTTCTATGCATGATTTGATCTAACAACGCAGAACTTTGGGTTTTCTTTCAGGATGAAGTTGAAAGTCTATATGAGGAGGAATGCAGGCTTGATGATGCTATAACGTTGGTTCTTTAGAATTTAAACAGACTCTTTGAGATGTTTTCTGATCTCTCTTGTATGTTTAGCTATCAAGACGTTATTTTTTTTTTCAGGGAAAAGCAAGAGCTTCTAAGGGCCCTGGAGCAAGATGAAAAGTATAAAAAGTATAGTCTCAATCCTGTTGTCTTTCCTTGCATCAACGTTACATCTTTTTATCCTTTTAATACTTTATAATCCGCTAACATCTACTTTTTAGGTACTTATTTTTGACGGAGGAAGATATTTCAAGTCTTCATTGCTTCCAGGTCGGTTTTTTCCTGTGAAACTTAAAAACTTTAATTACTTAGCGCTTTATTTTTCTACCTGTTCATGAATCTCACTGTTTTCTTACTGCTTTTGTTGTCACAGAATCAAACACTTATTGCAATAAAAGCTCCTCAAGCTAGTTATATTGAAGTTGTTGATCCTGATGAGGTGGGTACCTTCGACAGATGTCGTTTGTGAATTTTGGAATAGCATTATAGCTAACTCAGTTTTTGATTGATCAGGATATTTCTTTTCAACAAAGGCAGTTTAGGATGATTGTCAAAAGCACGATAGGACCTATAGATGTGTATCTCTTGAGGTATTAATTTCTCTTCCCTGCATAGGCTAAAGCTATATGGATGGTCATGAACATATGTCGCAGAATTCATTTCCGAATTTCATGCATAGGCTACGTTCTTTGGTGTGTAACCTTTATTCTCAATATTTGTAGCAAATACCAATGTCAACTCGAGAGTATTACTTTGAAGAAAGCAAAATTAGCGGGTTCATCTTCTTGCAATCGTAGTGACTATTGCAATGCGGAAGATGGAGGGATGTCTTCATGTCATCAGGGCGAGAAAAATACTTGTGAAACTCTCAGCGTACCAAGCTCAGAGGCATCTTCTGGGATTCAGAAGATTATTCCTTCACATTTCGATGCAAGTTTTTCTTCCATGTAGCTTCTGAAGTGTGCTTAGTATGTATCTATCATCGGTCATAGTTAACCTAATTAACTGATTTGTGAATGATAATTTTTGCAGGCCAATGATGATTATTGGTTTAGATCAGAACCTGATGTTAGCCTTACAGATCTATGGGGTAAGCAACTTCCTTCCTCTCTTTTGCCCCAAATCTTTTAGAATTAATCGCCGAGGGCTGCATCTTCCACCTCTCCTTGTAAAAACAAATCAGATTTGGATTAGATGTAGCCATGTAGGCTTACGGGGAATTACTAAAGACTTTCTATATTGGAACCTACAGCGAATTAGGCCCGGACCCAAAGCAAAAACCTCCTTCAAGACCGTTCTAAGAAGAGTAGCGCAGCGTTGGGCAATGAACATTGACCGTAGTGTAAATGGAATCAGGTGGTTGATTGTTTTGCCATACAAAGGTGTAGTATAATCTATAGTTACTGCTGGAAAGTTTTGATAATGTGCGGCGAGGATGCCAATTAGATGGCTGCCTGACCATTTAGGCAGCCTATATGTGTCATCTGAAGACTGAGGAATGATGAGTTTTAGTCGAACCATAGCTTATCAACTTTGTCGAGGGATGGATAAAACGATATGGCAGTTGTAGGGGTTTCGATGAAGTTTTTCTAGATCAAGTTTCCGCGTTCAGAGATGCAGATGAGGATTGCTTTCTATAGATGAACGAAAGAAGTTGTTTGCATTTTGGAGCTCCGGTTGCGTGATAGTTGGGAATCTTTGTTCGTTGGAGGGGAGGCTTAAACCTACGATCTGGTGAATGCAAATAATTTCGTATGTGGTTTAAGCTTGTTTCGGTTACTTTAACAAGCGTTCGAAATAATTTCCGGTAGGGTCATCGGAGTCAACAATAAGCCGAGGAAGGCAAGGCCGAAGGGGAAGACATCCTACTACCTGATCATAAACATTAGACATTGGATAGAAGTTGCTAAATTAATTAGAAATTTCCTTCTTTTTTTCCCAATGATTTTGCAGCAGTATCTGAATTAGCTTTATGCATAATCAAGGTCAATGAGAAATACGTGCCTCGCATGTCATCATTAGTGAAGAGCTAATCTCGTCTAATCTTTTGTTCATTAAAAAAAAAAGTCGAGAAATACAGTTTTTCTGAAGCTACATTCCCCACGTTTTGGCGTGAACGATTCACAACGGAGTTAGGCTCGCCTACCTGGGCTCCAATGTAGAAGATTTGGAATTCGAAGGCCCAGATTTGGCAGAAGCTCATATTCAGCGAGCCTAGTCAACCCAAGTTTGACTGTACTTTAGCCCTCCAAGCTTGGGTTTGCTTGGAGAACACCATGGAAGGATGGGTATACCGTTACGGTGTTGTTATGATCCAATAACACTGTCACTTGTTAATTTCACCCTACATGACATTGCGGTATTGGATTGACTTGCAACTGTGATGGTGTATCAGGTCCATTTAGGTCTTACTCGTTCGGTTGACTTGTTGATTGATTAGATAACGCAACAAGATGATGTCATGTCGTGATATTCTTTCAACGTAGGCTTTTACTTATAAGCATGTCGATACGATATCAAACAATTACATAATAGAAGAATCAATAATACTAATAGTATAGTTATTATCTTGTTCATATATGTCACATGGTCAGACGGTTCGATCCAAGGCTATATGTTTTATAAAATCAGCAAGTGGTGACAAATTACATGAGGGAGGTAATTGTGGGGTCGTTATTTAATCTGTAATCCAACCACTAGCCTTCCTTGACATGATTTAAAAGGATTTGTAATGTCCGACATAGCAGCTAGAGTTGGATATGCTGTCACTGCAAGTCGTTTATTTAAGAAAAGCCACCAAAATTTTACCTAACTTCTCAGTTCTTATCTACGACGGATTTTAATACTAATACCATCAATTAAAGTAGGATTTCAATGAGAGAGGATCGTTGCCGGATTCTCTTTGTGAGGATTTCGGAAATCCTTAAATCATATATGTTTATCGTACATCATGCGATCAATTTTTATCAGGTATCGTTTATATTTAATTTTAAATAAAAAAATTTACAATAATTTCTAACTGCATGATGTACAATGAACATATATGATTGGAGCATCTCCACAAGGATTTCAATTGGCCATGTACTCACAAACCACAATAAAGACCATACAAATCACAATCAGATTTGGTGGAACTTAGGTTACACGTGTTTAGACCCCGATGTTGATCATTTTCTCCTCTCTCTCATGATTCATGAGTCAAATTATGTACTGTAAGACCAACGGAATGAGTTCGTAATACGATTTTTTTAGTATGCACTGGTAAATAGTGCATATTAAAATCCTTAGCTGTTAAATTTTTAGTTGCTGTAATTATGTTTTTTGGTAACAATAAGTCGAGGGAGGTGGGAGGCTACCTTATTTTAGGATCAGAGTACATCACAAGCTTTTTGAAGACTTATAGAGAAGGTTTTAGTTTCTTTTTTAGTTTTTATAGATCACCTATCAAGATGGATTACTATAGTGAAACTGAAACCTAGGTCATGATCTAGCGAAGAGAACGATCTTACCAACTCAACCAATCCTTGTTGGCTTAGCTATTGTATCTTTGGTCGTACGTTCAACGTTACATTCATCTGGTACATGTCATACACAAAACTGGAGCATAATAAAATTTTGCCATTTTATATGAGAACCACCATGAATTAATTTCTTTGAATGGAAAACACTAAAAATCAGCTGTGGAGTTGCACTTATTATTATCAAAGAGAGTAATTGATGGTAGAGATAACAGTTTGCCCATCCCTTCTTCCCAAATAATGCATACAACAAAGTAGGTAGATAGTGATAACAATTATCAAGTGACTTCAATTATCTTTGGTCATTTTTTTTTTGACAAAAAATAAAAAATTGACCAAATCCCCTTCCCAAAAGTATGTATAGTTTCACAAATGAAAATGATATGAACTAGTTTAATTAATTGTTTTTAGCGGGTTTTGGCCTAGTCCCCCGTTTGTTCTACTTTTCCTTTTTTCTTCTTATTATTAATAAAATCTTGTAGAGGGGGGACGGGCGGGGGGTTTCTGGGTGCAACGGTCCTTTCTCCTTTGGGAGAGGGTTGGTGCCTCGCACGCGACTGTTGACGAAGAACTAATCTCGCCTAATCCGTCTCTACAAAAATTTAAAAAAAAAATTGTATAGTTTCACAAATTATAAGAACACACTATTCTCGACTCTAGCCAACTCGGTTATGTCCAAAATATAATTAAAGAATTGCTACAGTAAGTAAGGACCGCTTCAAATTTTCCCTACATTGGAAAGAATTATAAGGGAGACTGGGGGTATGTTTTGTACCAAAAAAGGAAAAGAGCAGAGAAAAATAGATAGTATTTTTTCTCACCACCCTTAAATTACGGTGACGCTGATCACCCTATTTATTATCGTTGAATAAATTTAAATTTCGAAATTTATGCAATAAATAGACATAAATCTCAAAGTTTAAATTCATCCAATAGTAATAAATAAAGTGATGAGCAAAATTGCACTCAAAGAAAAATAGAGAGCATTTGAAGGTTTATGAAAAGGACAAGCAAATAAGTAAAAGAAGTAAAGAAAGAAAAAATGGGTGGGGGTAAAGGGTAAAAGGTATGAGAAAGACATGCCAACAAACAAACATAAATAATTACAGGCACATGAGGGGAAGAAGAAGCCAGGGGAGGGGAGGGGACGATTGTCCCATGAAATGCAATGCCATAGGATTATTTGGACCACCTCTCTATCCAACTGCTTCCACTAGCTATAATTTCATTTGCCAGAAATGTGGAATCCAAGGCTTCGAAAACCTTCCCCACTTTCTACATGCCTCTCCCTTTTTGTCTTTAATGATGCAGAACAACTTTGATGACACGAGTATAGTTTGAACGTAGTATTTTATGTTAGATAAATGTTAAGGAGATTCTCTCAAAGTGAGACTCTTCATAGAATATCTGTCACCTCACAGTTTAATGCCAATTTCTGTGGTAACATTATAAAACATTTTGCCAAAAACATGAAGTGATAGAGAGTTAATGGATAGTCCAGCTTTTGAGAGAGTCTTCATAATATATTCCTAGGTGTTTACAATCAATATTATGTAAAAGTAAATTTACACATTACAATATATCATTGACACGACATACCACGATGAGAGCGTGCCGGTACTGTGAAGTCTTTCTCCTCATATTCTTTTGGAGAAAATTGTAGCAATGGTCTCTCTACTTTAACCCAATTGGAGTAATGGTCATTCAACTAAAAATTTGTGACCGTTGGTCACTTAATTCATCAAAATGTGCAGTTATAATCCTTTTTGTCAACTCCATTAGAAAATCCGTCAAAATGAGTCATGTTGGAAGAATTATTGCTACAATTGGGTTAAAGTTGATGGATCATTGCTCTAATTTGGTTAAAATTAAAGGATTATTTCTCCAGTTGGATTAAAGTTGATGGATAATTTCTACAATTTTCTCATTTGATTTTTCATATTTGCTCTTTGATTCACCCTCACGTGCATGGCATGCGACTCATTTCATCGGAATTTCTAACGGAGTTGACAAAAAAGATCATAACCGCACGTTTTAATAAGTTAAGGAACCATTGGTTAAAGATTTTTAGTTAAATGCTTTGATATCAATGAGAAAGTTAAAATTCCATCATAAAATCAATTGATAATTTGGAGAGTAGCCAAACTTACTTATAAGCTCATGCAAAGTCTTCATTCTCATCAGTGTAGGATTCATTCTCAACATGATTATTGTTCTAATTAAATTAAAATTAAGAAATCATTACTACGATTTCCTCTATTCTTTGTAGGTGAGGGCTCTTTTGGCTTCCTTGTGGTTGACAAAAACACAAAGGAAACACCCTTGTTCTCTTTGGTGTGATTTTTCACTTTAATACCAGTAACACAATTACCATCAAATCTCTTTTTTTCTGCTCTTGTAAAATGAATGATGGAATTGACGTGTAAATGGACACTCGATGGCCACGGTAGACTTGGGAGAATCTCATTTATCATTTGCACTTTTTAACTTTAAATTATTTGTCGGATTTTTTTTTGTTTTTGTTTGAAGAAGATTTGTCGGATTAAAATAAAATGCTATATCTTGCTTCTTTTTGGAAACAGCGAAAAGGGTTAAAGGAGCATAATCTTTTACTCGTGAGAACTGCTAGATTCATCTTAATGTCTTATTTTTCTACTTATATTTTGATCTCGTCTATTAAAAAAATTTAGAAAATTAAAATGTTACTTCTTCACTCACTGATATTCCTAAAATAATCTCTAATATATTATATAAAATTATAAACTTGTCTCTTAGAAAAATATATATGATTTGAACATTATTTTCTTACATTTTCAATGAAAATGTCATCTTACACTTATTCAATGGAAACATCCGCTAGATTCATCTTAATGTCTTATTTTTCTACTTATATTTTGATCTCGTCTATTAAAAAAATTTAGAAAATTAAAATGTTACTTCTTCACTCACTGATAGTCCTAAAATAATCTCTAATATATTATATAAAATTATAAACTTGTCTCTTAGAAAAATATATATGATTTGAACATTATTTTCTTACATTTTCAATGAAAATGTCATCTTACACTTATTCAATGGAAACATCGTGTACCTCTTCCATGAAAACATCGTCTTCTATCTCTTCAATGAAAACGTCATCTTCTAAGTTCAATTTTTTTGTTTTCTCTAAATGAAAAGAGATGGAAATATGAGCTAGAGTTTAAGGGTAGATAAATGTTTCTAAACAGAGGGCGGGAGTTAGAATCATTCCCAACGTGTTTATTTAACAAAATAATTGCGCCCAACTTTTTTATTTTTTAAAAAAGATAAAGTAAAAAGAGGGTGGGAGTTAGAATCACCCTCAAACTTTTCATTTTTTTAAAAAGATAAAGCAAGAAGAGGGTGGGAGGGCTGGTTTGATATTGATGTGCTTTGAAAAAAAGAAACTACTTCTGCTGTGCTGTGAGAATAAGCTCATTTTTGCTGCTTCACGTTTTTAGCTTTTTTTTCACCAAAAACTGTGAAAATAAACTGTTTTTATGTGTTTACCAAACACCTTTTTGAACTGA